GGCAAACTGGATATTCACATGCACAAGACTGAAGATGAATTCTTCAGCATACATAAAAATCAAAATGATTACAAGACTTAAATAAGATCGGAAACTATAAAACTCCTAGAACAGGAGAAAAGCTTCACGACATTGGATTTAGCAATGATTTATTGGGTATGACAACAAAAGCACAAGGAACAAAAGAAAAAAATAGAAAAATTGAATTTCACCAAAATTAAAACCTTTTTTCAAAGGGCATTAAAAACAGAATGAAAAGGCAACCCACATAGAATGGAAGAAAATATTTGCAAATCATTTATCTGGTAAGTTCTTTACATATTCTGGATATATAAAGAATTTCTACAGCGCTACAACAAAACCAATTATAAAATGGACAAAGGACTTCAATAAACATTTCTCCAAAAAAGATATACAAATGGTCAATAAGCACATAAAAAGACAGTTAACAGCACCAATCACTAGGGAAATGCAAAACAAAACTAAAATACTTCAAACCCATTAGTATGTCTATTATAAAAAAATATATAGAAAGTAACAAGTGTTAGCAAGGGTGGGGATATTAAAACCCTTGTACATAACTGGTAGAAAGTTAAAATGGTATAGCTGTACTTCCTCAAGTTAAACGTACAATTATCATAAGATCTAGCAATTCCACTTTTACATGTACACTTAAAAGAACAGAAAGCACCACTGATTAGAGCAGTGCTATTCTTGATAGCCAAAGTGGTGGAAACAATTTAAATGTCCATTGGCAGATAAAAGGATAAAATGTGGTGTAGAAGTACAACGGAATATTATTCAGCCTTAAAAAGGAATTAAATTCTGATACATGCTACAACATGGCAGAACCTTAAAAACATTATGCTAAGTGGAATAAGCCACACACAAAAGGACAAATAGTATGATTCCATTCATACCATGTACTTAGAACAGTCAAATTTGTACAGTCAGGAAGTAGAACAGTGGTTACCAGGGGCTTGACAGTTACTGTTTAAGGAGTACAGAGTTTCAGTCTGAGATGATGAAAAAGTTCTGGAGATGGATAGTGGTGATGAATGCACAAAATGTGAATCTATCTAAATGCTACTGAGTTATATAACCAAAAAGTGTTTAAATGGTTAATTTTATGCTATATGTATTTTACTACATTAAAGAAGAATTCTAAAATAAATAAATACAAGTGAATTTATTGACAAAAAACCTTGCCTTGTCCTGTGACATGAAAAAAAAAATTATACAAGCTCATTAAGACCAAACATTATTTAAAGCAAGAACTTCATTTTAAAGTAAAATGTGTCAACGTTCTTACTAAAAGCAATCCTGTAAGGAATCAAAAGATGTTTAAAGTCTTTTGATAATCTGACTTAATCCAAAAATGAATTTAAATATTTGGGTGATGGGCCTGACTGAATGTCCTGGAGACAATTACACAGACTTAGCTACTGAAATCAACACTTTGATAAATATTATCCAACAGAGTTTGAGGCTGCCCTCTGTAGCTAGGACATGGTATTCAGAAAGTTTATATTGGATAAAGGACTTATATCCAGAATAAAAAGGACTACAACACAGTATCATCAACCCCATTTTTAAGTGGACAAAAAAATCTGAATAAGTATTTCACTAAGATAGATAGATAATGGCTGAAGAGCACATAAAAGATGCTTTGACCTTATTCATCACCAGGAAATCAACATTAACACCACAAAGGAATATCACTTCAAACACTAGGATGAGTATAATTTTAAAAAAATTAAAAATAAAATAAACAATGACTGGCAAGGTTGTAGAGAAACAGGAACCCTTGCACATTACTAGTCAGATGTAAGACAATGCAGTCACTTTGGAAAATAATTTGGCAGTTTCCTAAGAAAGTTAAACTAAAATTTACCTTACGATTTAGCAACTCCCCTCAGGTATCTGCCTAAGGAAAGTGAAAACATGCCCACACAGGGTTGCACACTAATGTTCAAAACACTTGCATACCAATGTTCAAAGCAGCAACATTCCTGAAAGGCAAAAACTGGAAAAAACTCAAATGCTCTTCAAATAGTGAATGGACAAAGCAGCCACATAATGTAATATTATTTGCAATAAAAAATAGGCCGGGCGCGGTGGCTCAAGCATGTAATCCCAGTACTTTGGGAGGCCGAGGCGGGTGGATCACGAGGTCGAGAGATCGAGACCATTCTGGTCAACATGGTGAAACCCCGTCTCTACTAAAAATACTAAAAACTAGCTGGGCGTGGTGGCACGTGCCTGTAATCCCAGCTACTTAGGAGGCTAAGGCAGGAGAATTGCCTGAGCCCAGGAGGCGGAGGTTGCGGTGAGCCGAGATCGCGCCATTGCACTCCAGCCTGGGCAACAAGAGCGAAACTCCATCTCAAAAAAAATAAATAAATAAAGTACATGTTACACTCATGTTACAACATGAATGAACTTAAAAAACACATTAATGAAAAACACAAGATCACATACAGTAACAAAATGTACAGAAAAAGACAACCCTAGAGACACAAAGTAGACTGATTAGTGGGTGCCTGGGATTAGAGGTTGGAAGGAAGATTAACTGTAAACTGGAAAAAGGAATCTTACTGGGATGATGTTCTAAAAATATGGATTATGGTAATGGCTGCACAACTCAGCAAATTTACTAAAACTCACTGAATTGTGCACTTGAAATGGTTTTAATGATATGTAATTTGTACCTCAATAAAATCATTTTTAAAAAAATTTATAATCCAGACTCCTAACAGATACTAGGATAAAACCTTGTTATGAATGTTAGGGAGTCTAAGAGTAATCCTGGAACAAGCCTCTTCTCAAGACTTACATATTTCTTCAACTCTTTCTATAAATTATACCTTTCAGAAAATAAAACTTAAACCAGCCTTTTTCTCTTTTCAGAAAAATACTTAAATCATTATGAATGATTCTCATAATAACTATTCCTTTCATGGCTAGAATGTGATTGGTTGGGTCCACTTAGCAATAACAATGCAGACCAATTTATCACACGGCAGTATTTAAACTGCAGGCTTGCAGTTGGGGAGGCACCAGGACAAAAACCTTCTCCCAGAGGTAGCATTTCACACCTACATACATTAGTCACAGTAAATGTTCCTGAGTCTAAGATCAGCCTTAAGGATCGCTTTACTTCCATAAACCAAGAGTTTTCTGGTTTAGTTCTCTTTTAGAAGGAGAACTAATAGGAGCTGCCTACAATTTCAACTTTAGGAACTTATTTCTAGACCACTGCTCAGTTCATGGGGTTCCTCCAGAACCCTATGACCTAAACCCCAAAACTCACTCATTCAGGGGCTTAAGTTCCTTTTTCAGTTAGAAATTATTATTCAGACTCCACCAATGAAATTTATAAGGAATAATCCACCAATACCCGTATATTCCATTCCTCTGAGGTCTAATTTCACAACAGAAAACTTAACTGAAAATTTTTTCTGTATCAATTCTATATTCTTTCCCTGAACTTTACTTGCTATCAGTGGGGTCTCTCTAGATTTTAGGATATCTATCCTCCAAACGGTAGGGATTATAACAGAACACTCCAACACCAGAAATTCAGGTTATATACATAAGAGAACTAGGTTAAATCAGAAAGTAGATTCCCCATCAAAAGGTGGCAGCTGGTGCCCAGGACCAGCTGAGTGCTTTACAGAAATGTAAGCAGACTGTTGTTAGCCCTTATAGTTTTTTTAAGACAAGCCTTGTTTTTAATATGAAATGCCCTAATTTTAGATACTGGTAACAATGTGTACATACACACACACACACACACACACACCCCACCACACCCCAAGCAGACAAACTGTTAGAACAGCTTTTAACTGTTGCCATACAGAATGTTTACACTCCAATTGGAAAAATACATACTTGCTGCAGGTAAAATTTTTGAGTAGAATTTTTGCAGATCAAAATCCATCCAGAACAGCTCTGTTTCAGCGCACTTTCTTTCCCCCAGTCCCCATCTATTTTCCTAGGACTGTTAAGTCTCACAGAGGAGACGGCTCAGGTGTAAGCTCTCTGGCTTCTGTCTCCTTGGCCAATGCCCAAGAGAAAAAGAGCTCCCTTGTCCAATCAAAATACTCCCTGAAGGAAAAGTCATTTGAGCTTCACTGACCCATTCTTAAGTTATAGCATTTGAGGGATTCCTGCATGGAGTTTTCCAAAAGTATACTGCATTCTCATTAAGCTAGAAGTCCAGCATCCTGGGAACCAGGCATGGGAGTGTACCCGTAATGCCAGCTATTCAGGAAACTGAGATGGATGGATCACTTAAGCCCAGGAGTTCAAGACCAGCCTGGACAACACAGTGAGCCTCGATCCAAAAAAAGAAAAACAGAAAAACAAAACAAAAAAATCCAGCATCCTGAATAGGAGTATTTTCCACTAGAGAAACTTGAAAATAATGACAAACCAGAAAAACAACTTATGTCCACAGCTTCAGAGATAATCAGGAATACCAAAAAAAACCAAAAAACAAAAAACAAAAACAAACAAACAAACAAACAAAAACACAACTTAACTAAAAAAGGCAGAAATCATTAGTCTCATCATTTCATTCTGCTGGTAAAGAAACTGAAAGGTCAAATTACTTGTCCAAGGTGTACACAGCAAGTTGGTTGGCAAACTGGGACAGAATCCAAGTTAGCTGACTGCAGTCAAGTTCTCTTTCCATCAAACTACCTGGTAGTAGAAGAAATCAGAGGGAAATTCCCTGAAGAAAAGAATACTTCCAATTCAAGTTTGGCCTCAGAATCATTTCGCATTCTTCACTTTCCAGTGACTTAATCAACTAATTACTGTTTACCAGCCATTGCCATCCTTGAAAAGAGGGATGAACGGGGAGAAGAATTTTTCCTAGCTGCCATTTTATGAAAGTTGCAGCTACTGATCAATTTTGTAATAGTTTACATCCCAGGGCTTCAGTAACTGACAATCTGAACTAAATCCCCCCACACCTTACCGTAATTCCAGGATTATTCTGAAGAATGAAATCCCCGATGTCTAATGAGGCCTGAATTACTTTTAAATGTCTTCTCACATTCATTACATTCATATTCTCTCCTTCCAGTATGAATTTTTAGGTGTTCTACAAGGATTGAGCTTCGACTAAAGGTTGCGCCACAATAATTACATTCATAGGGTTTCTCTCCTGTATGAATTCGGTGGTGTTCGTTAAGAGATGAACTCTGACTGAAGTTCTTCCCACATTCTTTACATTTATAAGGTTTTACGCCAGTATGAATTCTCTGATGACGACTAAGGAGTGAATGGGTTGGGAAGGCTTTCTCACATTGGTTACATTTGTACGGTTTTTCTCCTGAATGAAGTCTTTGGTGATAAATAACAGATGTAAAATGGCTGAAAGTCATTCCGCAATCATTACACAAATATGGTTTTTCTCCGGTGTGAATTCTCTGATGCCGGGTAAGGCATGAATTCTGTCTAAAGGCTTTTCCACATTCACCACATTTATAGGGTTTCTCTCCAGTATGAATTCTCTGATGTTTGGAAAGGGATGAGCTATGACTGAAGGATTTTCCACAATTGTTACACGTATAGGGTTTTTCTCCAGTATGAATTCGCTGATGTTGAATAAGAGATGAACTGTCACTGAAGGGTCTCCCACAGTCTTTACATTTATAAGGTTTTTCTCCAGTATGAATTCTTTGATGTTTAATGAGGTGAGCACTTAGGGTGAAACCTTTCCCACAATCATCACATTTGAAGGGTTTCTCTCCACTATGAGTTCTATGATGTGGTGTGAGCGATGAACTATCACTAAAAGCTTTTCCACACTCATTACACATATAGGGCTTTTCTCCAGTGTGAATTCTCCGATGCTTCGTGAGTGAGGCACTATAGCCAAAGGCTTTTCCACACTTACTACATTTATGAGTTTTTTCTCCAGTCTCATTTCCCTCACCCTTATTTAAGGCTGCTTCTTGACATGAATCTTTCCGACATTTCTCACACATAGGGATTTTTCTCCTAGAAAGAGTTGACCTCCGAATAAAGATTATCCCACACTTACTGCATTTTTGGGATCTATCCCCCAAAAGAATCTTCTGACGTTTCTGATGTTCAGTAAGAGCTGAAGAGTGACTTAAGACTTTCCCACTGTCATTACATTTCCGTAACTTTTCTCCAGCAGTTTTCTCCTTGCGGTTCAGAACAAGGTCTGAGTGAAAACTGAAGGGTTTCTTGCTTTCATTATACTTCCGAGATTTCTTCCTCAAGTAGACTCTCAGATGTTTCATTAAGTCTGAAGGTTCTTTGAAATTATGTCCAAAGGGCCTTTTATCTGGGTCAGATTCCTCACCCCTATTGCCTTTCCCATGAGTTTTCTTTTGTGTGACTTTTCCTTTTGAATTTCCCTGATTACCATGCTCCTCCTCTGATATGCCACAATATTTCTGGAATTCTTCCATCAGGCCATCATCATCACCCCTGAGGCATCTTTCTATTATTTTATCTAAAGCTGATTCATCTAAAAGAAATAAGAAATAGAATATTTCCTGATTCCAAGAAAAGAAGCTGTATTTGGGTCTGAAATAGGAACACATTAATAATTATAAGGAATACAGTTTGGATGGTTCTCAAAAAGAGCTTTATAAAATAGAAAAGGAAAAGGTAATAATGAGAAACAATGTAAACATACGGGCTAAGAAAAATATTGAGAAAGGTGGAAAGTTTGTGCTTTATAGTTAGATGCAAGTTCTCACCCTCATTTTCAATTTCTGTAAGAGGTTCAAACCTATTCTCCCTATATCCAAACTTTTCTCTTTCCAACAATGATAGCACAAACATTTGTTGAGTATTTACCAAATGCCAGGTCCTGCATCAAGCACGGTGTTAATACAAATAACTACAATACTTACAAGCACGATGTAATACAAATAACTACAATACTTACTTGATTACTGTACTTAATCTTCACAACAACCCTATGAAGTAGGTCTTATTATCATCCCGGTTTTATGTATGTGACAACTGGGCACATAGAGTGTTAAGTAGTCTATCCAAGGCCACAAGTATAATATGTGATAGAGAAAGATTTTTAACTTAGTCTGAGTTCAAAGACCATGCTCCTGATCCTTATATCACCTCTCCCCAAAGCATGCAACACTAATTTTGTTGAAAATGTTAAACACATCACAGATATACAACACCATTAATATAGACTTTCAAAGATTACCACAAGTTGGCCCTATCAGCCTTATGGATATACTAATCAGGCATCCCTTTCAAGTCTCTCCTACAATGCTGCAGTTCCAGTACTATTCTTCTGATCTTAATACTTACTGCTACCTAGAATGCATTCCCACAGCACCCTCACTGTCATAACCATCAATGAGACAGGGCCCGGGGTTCAAGTCCAATGATCTCCAGAGACTTCTCTAATACCATACTCTCACTGATTATGCTCTTCTCAAAATTTTGAATTTGCTAATTAACTACATCCTTTTAACCATGAGATCACACTGTTACTTTTATAAAACTATTTTCTTAACAGATAAAACATAAAATTACTCAAAATCATATTACCTAGAAGCTAACTAATGGCTAATACACAATTCTGTGTATTTCCTTCAATGTTTTTTTTTTTTTTTTGAGACGGAGTTTCGCTCTTGTTACCCAGGCTGGAGTGCAATGGCGCGATCTTGGCTCACTGCAACCTCCGCCTCCTGGGTTCAGGCAATTCTCCTGCCTTAGCCTCCTGAGTAGCTGGGGTTACAGGCACGCGCCACCATGCCCAGCTAATTTTTGTATTTTTTTTTAATAGAGAGGGGGTTTCACCATGTTGACCAGGATGGTCTCGATCTCTTGACCTAATGATCCACCCGCTTCGGCCTCCCAAAGTGCTGGGATTACAGGCTTGAGCCACCGCGCCCGGCTATTCTTTTCATTTTATATTGTTACTCTTTCATTTATAATTATTTGCCATTACACTGCTAATATTTTTTAATTTTTTTTATTTTTAGAGACAGGGTCTTACACTCTTGACTGGGCTGGAGTGCAGTGGCATGATCACAGCCACCACACCTCACTTTTTTAAATTTTTGAGACAGAGTGTCACTTTCATTGCCCAGGCTGGAGTGCAATGGTGCAATCTTGGCTCACCACAATCTCCACCTCTTGGGTTCAAGCGATTCTCCTGCCTCAGCATCCTAAGTAGCTGGGATTACAGGCATGCACCACCACACCCATCTAATTTTGCATTCTTAGTAGAAACAGGGTTTCTCTATGTTGGTTAGGCTGGTCTTGAACTGTCAACCTCAGGTGATCCACCTGCCTTGACATCCCAAAGTGCTGGGATTACAGGCATGAGCCACTGTGTCCAGCCACGCCTGGCTAATTTTTTAAAATTATGTGTAGACATGGGGTCACACTATGCTGAATAGGCTGGTCTTGAACACCTGGCCTCAAGTGATTCTCCCACCTTGGCATCCCAAACTGCTGGGATTACAAGTATGAGCCACTGCACCCAATCTGCTAATTCTTCATAAAGATAATTTTAATCAGTTACATGATAATTCATCATATAGATTTCTCTTTTTTTTTGGTTTTATGTGTGTGTGAGATGGAGTTTCACTCTTGTTGCCCAGGCTAGAGTGTAACAGCACGATCTCAGCTCACTGCAACCTCTGCCTCTGGGTTCAAGTGATTCTCCTGCCTCAGCCTCCCAAGTAGCTGGGATTACAGGCACGCACCACCATGCCTGGCTAATTTTATATTTTTAGTAGAGACAGGGTTTCTCCATGTCAGTCAGGCTGGTCTCAAACTCCCAACCTCAGGTGATCCACCTGCCTTGGCCTCCCAAAGTGCTGGGATTACAGGCGTGAACCACTGCGCCTGGCCTTCATTCTCTTATTGAACCATTATCAAATAATACTTCCTGAAAAAGAGAGTCATAAAAGCAGAATTACTAAACCAAAGGGTAGAAAGGCTATACCGCTTTACATGACACGTGAGCAGAAGCACCTGAGTACTAATCTCTGGTAAAATAATCTTTCTTTAAATCTCTGCAAATTTAATTCATAATAAATAGTATTATTGCTTTAAATGTATGCTGCACCGCTAACCAGTGAGTTTGAACATTTTTCTCACGTTCACAAGCTATTTAAATTTTAAATTTTGTTGGTGATGCATTCAAGTTTTCAGTACATTTTCCTAACAGATTTAGAGTTCCTTGTCAATGTGAATGAGGTTTTTTGTTTGGTTGGTTTTTTTGAGAGAGTCTCACTCTGTCACTCAGGCTGGAGTGCAGTGGTGCAGTCTCAGCTCACTGCAAACTCCACCTCCTGGGTTCAAGCAATTATCCTGTCTCAGCCTTCTTAGTAGCTGGGAATACAGGCACACACCACCATGCCTGGCTAATTTTTTTATTTTTAGTAGAGATGGGGTTTGAACATATTGGCCAAGCTGGTTTCAAACTCCTGACCTCAGGTGATCCATCTGCCTTGGCCTCCCAAAGTGCTGGGATTACAGGTGAGCCACCACACCTGGCTGAGTTTTTTGTTTTGTTTTTAAAATAAATTATGTCCACTGACTCTGCTAAATCTGTCAAAACCTTTTTTCTACAGTATGTTGTAAATAACTTTTAAAACAAGCTATATATCAACATTAAAACAAGCTATATATCAACATGAGGCTTTTTTTTTCACATAAGATTATTGGGAAAAAGACATAGATTCACACCAACGCTGCCAGAACTACTCAAAATACTTTTAGAATCAACTCTTTTAAGTACTATCCAAAATGCTACTTAAATGTAATAAAACTATTGTCCTTTATTTATGTAATTACAGTTGACCCTTGAGCAACACAGATTTGAACTGCAAGCATCCACTTAAAGGTGGATTTTTTTTTTTTTTTTTTCTAAGAGACAGGGTCTTGTTCTGTCATCCAGACTGGAGTACAGTGGCAGGATTATAGCTTACTGCAATATCTATCTAACTCCTGGGCTCAAGCAATCCTCCCACCTCAACGCATACCACTGTGCCTGGCTAATTTTTAAATTTTTTGTAGAAACAGTGTCTCACTATGCTGCCCAGGCTGGTCTCAAACTCCTGGCTTCAAGTGGTCTTCCCACTTTGGCCTCCCAAAGTGCTGGGATTACAGGTGGAAGGCGCTATGCCCAGCCCCATGGATTTTTTCAATAAACATGTCAGAAAAATTTTTGGAGACTTAGGACAATTTGAAAAAAACCTGCACACAAACTGTGTAGCCTAGAAATAAGAAGAATAAAAATGTATCATAAATATTTAAGATACATAGATACTAGTCTATTTGTCATTTACTACTATAAAATATATACAAACTATGAAGTTAAAATTTATCAAAACATAAACATACACTTACAAACCACAGTTGGTGCCATTCACAGTAAAGAGAAATGTGAACAAATGTCAAGATACAGTATTAAATCGTAACTGGGCCAGGCACAGTGGCTCACCCCCATATTCCCAGCACTTTGGGAGGCTGAGGCAGACAGTTCGTTTGAGTCCAGGAGTTGGGAGACCATCCTGGGCAACATGGCAAAACTCTGTCTCTACAAAAAATAAAAAAATTGGCCAGGCACGGTGGCTCACGCCTGTAATCCCAGCACTTTGGGAGGCCGAGGCGGGTGGATCACGAGGTCAAGAGATCGAGACTAGCCTGGTCAACATGGTGAAACCCCGTCTCTACTAAAAATACAAAAAAAAAAAATTAGCTGGGCATGGTGGCACGTGCCTGTAATCCCAGCTACTCAGGAGGCTGAGGCAGGAGAATTGCCTGAACCCAGGAGGCGGAGGTTGCGGTGAGCCGAGATCGCGCCATTACACTCCAGCCTGGGTAAAAAGAGCGAAACTCCTGTCTCAAAAAAAAAATAAAATAATATAAAAATAAAAATAAAAAAATTAGCTGAACATGGTGGCATGTGTCTGTAGTACCAGCTACTCAAGAGGCTGAGGGGAGAGGATCACTTGAGCCCAGGAGGGAAGAGCTGTAGTAAGCCATGATCATGCCACTACACTCTAGCCTGGAAGACAGAACAAGACTCTGTCTCAAAAAATAGTAATAACTGCACAAAATTTACTATAGTACATACTATACACTATAATAATTTCATAGGCACCTCTTGCTGGTTTTGCAACGAGCTCAAATGAACCCTTTAAGTATCCATTTAAAACACCAAGTAGGCTGGGCACAGTAACTAACACCTGTAATCCCAAAACTCTGGGATCCCCGAGGTGGGGAATCACAAGGTCAGGAATTCAAGACCAGCCTGGCCAACATGGTAAAACCCTGTCTTTACTAAAAATACAAAAATGAGCCAGACGTGATGGCAAGTGCCTATAATTCCAGCTACTCGGAAAGCTCAGGCAGGAGAATCGCTTGAACTTGGGAGGCAGAAGTTGCAGTGAGCTGAGACTGTGCCTCTGCATGCCAGCCTGGGCAACAGAGACTCCATCTCAAAAAAAAAAAAAAAAAAAAAAAAAGTTAGGCCGGGCGCGGTGGCTCAAGCCTGTAATTCCAGCACTTTGGGAGGCCGAGGCGGGTGGATCACGAGGTCGGGAGATCGAGACCATCCTGGTCAACGTGGTGAAACCCCGTCTCTACTAAAAATACAAAAAATTAGCTGGGCATGGTGGCGCGTGCCTGTAGTCCCAGCTACTCAGGAGGCTGAGGCAGGAGAATTGCTTGAACCCAGGAGGCGGAGGTTGCGGTGAGCCGAGATCGTGACATTGCACTCCAGCCTAGGTAACAAGAGTGACACTCTGTCTCAAAAAAAAAAAAAAAAAAAAAAAGTTATATATGGATTTTCAACTGTATGGGGGGGTCAGTGCCCCTAATCATGTTGTTCAAGGGTCAACTGTATACTATAAACAGCCAATAAGTTGACTACAATAAATGGTTGAGAAGATGTAATAGAACAAGATGGATTACTGCTTTTTACCTTGAGATAAACCAAGGTATTGAAACATGCAGTGACTTTATTTTTTTAAGTGTAAATTTAATATATATAAATTGTGGCTGGGCATGGTGGCTGCCACATGTAACCTTGGTACTTTGGGAGGCTGAGGGTGGATCACTTGAGGTCAGGAGTTAGAGATCAGACTGGCCAACATGGGCAAATGCTGTCTCTAACTAAAAAAAAAAAAAAAAAAAATTAGCTGGGCATGGTGGCACGTGCCTGTGAGAGGTTGAGCCAGGAGAAATGCTTGAACCCGGGAGGCGAAGGTTGCAGTGAGCAAAGATCGCCCCAGTGCACTCTAGTCTGAGCGACCTTGTCTCAAAATATATTTTATAAATAATTATATTTATTTGTGTATTTATATGTATAAATTGTAACATATAGGAAAGTATAAAAAACCTAATGTTGGCTGGGCAAGTGACTCACGCTTTTAATCCCAACACTTTGGAAGGCCAAGGTAGACAGATCATGAAGTCAGGAGATTGAGAGCATCCTGGTCTACATGGCAAAACCCCCATCTCTATTAAAAATACACAAAAATTAGCTGGGCATAATGGCATGCACCTGTAGTCCCAGCTACTCGGGAGGCTGAGGCAGGAGAATCACTTGAACCTCCGAGGCAGAGGTTGCAGTGCACTCCAGTCTCATGACAGAGCAAGACTCCATCTCAAAAAAAAAAACAACAAGTTAGCTGGGTATGGTGGCACGTGCCTGTAATCCCAGCTACTCAGGAGGCTGAGGCAGGAGAATTGCTTGAACCCAGGAGGCGGAGGTTGCGGTGAGCCGAGATTGCGCCATTGCACTCCAGCCTGGGTAACAAGAGTGAAACTCCGTCTCAAAACAAAACAAACAACAACAACCACCACCACCACCCCAAATTTTTCAAAGATAATCAGTGTTAATGTTTCCCAGATAATAAAAATCCATACATTCCATGTATTCAGGCATGTGTGTATATGTACATTTTTTCCCTTGAACAAAAATGGAATTATTATACATGCTGTCCACTGGGTAAATTCCTACTGATCCTTTATTAAGATTCAACTCAAATGCGAATTAAAACCTTGCTCCTATATATTCATTCTCACAGCTCCTTCTACATGTGCTTGATAGAGTCTGCATCACATGAACACTCCTGTTTTGATCCGTCCTCTCGTGTCCATAAAAATGCACTGCTCACACCTCCTCCTGTGGGGATACTACCTGACAGCACCTCCTGCTGCTCTATGATCCAACACCACATTCACACCAATTCCCACGAGCTGCTCCTAGTCAATGATGGAATACAGGGATATTTACCCAGGCCCATTTCTTTGAGACACAGGAATTCTCTGACAGGAGACTACAGCAAGGACTCCTGTTCCGCCTTGCCTCAACTTTTTTAGAACTGCACTTCAGTCTAAGACTTTTCCTACCCAATCTGCCCTCCTTCCTGCTCTCATTCACAGGGGTTAGACCAGCATTATGCTCTGATAGCTCTCCTGGCTTCTTCCAGTTCCTTCCCCATTTTCCTTCACTGAATTTTTCCCCAGTAAACATCCTGCATGGCTCATCAGGTACTAGCATCTATTCAGAGGACCCAAACCAAGACTCCCCCATTAAAATGAACAGTCCAGGAAGGCAATGGCTCTAGTCTAACCATCGTTGTATTTTAGTATCTAGGCAGCCCAACATTTCAAAGACTCTTCTCCACAGACTTGCTAAACAACTGTTTTTATTTCCTTGTCTACTTTTCACCAACTCACCTGGCTGGGAGCCTTTTGAGACTTCTTTTTCCAGCAGCCATGACAATTCAACCCACTTCAGCTGAGAAATCAACTCTAATTTTGAAACTGGAAAGTCTGCTCATAGAGAAAAGAACAGAAAATGGCTGTTTTGCATAAAGATATCCCAGCATTCATATATAGCCTCTGTTTCTCCAGGGAAGATAAAAGATGCTACCAAAACACACAGAAATAAATATTGGAACTTGAGACAAAAATAAGAAAAGGTATTCCACTGATGAAATCAAAATGATGCTTTACATTTCCAATTCAATGAAGCAAAGACCTTTTCTAGAAGACACACTGTAGAAAAGCAAAATTTCAGAACCCGTTTTTAGGATTAGTCCTACAAGCCCCTGGATCCTCAGCCAAAACAAAGTACTTCACATTGCACTTACCTTTCAATAAAGGGAACAAAGACAGACATAAGTTTAAGTGCTAGATAATGAAGAAAAAGTGTCTTTACCCAGAAATTCTAGGTTCCTGAAGTTTTCCAGCAGCACTTCCTTATATAGCTCCTTTTGAAAAGGCTCCAGCTTCTTCCACTCTCCTCTTGAAAAGTTCACAGCTACGTCTTTCAATGTTATAGATTCCTAGAACACCAAACACTTCTTTTGCATTGGATTATTCCCAAACAGACCCCAAATACATTTTTTTTTTGAGACAGGCTATTGCTCTGTCGACCATGTAAGTGCAGTGGTGCGATCACAGTTCACTGCAGGCTCAACCTCCTGGCCTCAAGCGATCCTCCCACCAGTAGCTGGGACTATAGGCATGTGCCACCATGCCCAGCTTACTTTTAATTTTTTTGTAAAGACATTGTCTCACTATGTTGCCCAGGCTGGTCTTAAATTCTTGGGCTCAAGAATTTTCTGTCCTCTATGTCCCAAAGCACTGGGATTACAGGCCTGAGTCACTGTGCCCGGCCTGGATGGCATATAAAGAATGGTTTCAATAGCATGTAAGTTTTTAAGAATTCCAAAGAAAGCTACAGAGTGGCTATTCATTCTATGATTGTTATAAGTGATTCAGAACAAGGGTATTACACAATCTCTGCTTCTTCCATTCACTCTCTAGTGTTAAATACTGTACAAGAATTATCTGGAATGTGTAACACTGATCAAGTTCACACGAACACATCGATTTTTAGGATTAAATGTTAATTGAAGGGTATGATTTACATTCCTAAACCCTAAGTTTGCAAAATTAATGTAAGCTTACTACAGGTAATAATTAAATACATAATATCTGCACCTACATTCCAATTTTTAACTTCCAATTACAAGCAGCAATTATCTTCTATCACATTTGGAGAATCTATATTCAACAACCCACACTTGCAATTACTCCATAATCAATTACAAACAAGTATACTGATTCACTAAAATACACTTTTTTTTGAGACAGAGTCTCACTGTATTGCCCAGGCTAGAATGCAGTGGCACGATCTCAGCTCACTACAACCTCTGTCTCCCAAGTTCAAGCGATTCTCATGCCTCTGCCTCTCAAGTAGCTGGGATTATAGACACGTGCCACCACACTTGGATGATTCTTGAAATACACTTTTTATAGCATTCTCTGCATGCTTTTTGAGAGGCAGTAGAGCAGAGTAGCTATTGGTACATGTATTACCTTCCTCTGGGAGCTGTAACAAATTGCCAAAAGCTTGGCGACTCAAAATAGGAATTTGTTCTCTCAAAGTTCTGAAGGCCAGAAGTCTGAGATCCAGGTGTTGGCAGAGTTGCATTCCCTTCTGAGGCTCTGGGGAAGAGTCTGTTCCTGGCTTCTTCCTGCTTCCGGTGGCTCCAAGAGTTCCTTGTCTGGTGGCCCTATCACTCCAAACTCTGCCTAACTCTTCATATCACCTTCTTTTTGTGTTTTCAATCTCCTCCTGCCTCTCTAACAAGGACAGTAGTGATGGCATTTAGGGCCCACCTGTATAATCCAGAATAAATTCCTCATCTTGTTTTCTTTTTGAGAGACAGGGTCTCACTTTATTAGCCAGGATGGAGTATGGCAGCACAATCATAGCTCACTACAGCCTCAACCTCCCAAGCTCAAGTGAAAGATTGTCTTTCCTCCTCACAGCTCTACCACCTCAGATCCCAAGTAACTGAGACCACAGGTATGTGCTACTGTGCCCAGCTAAGTTTTAAAATTTTTTACATAGACGAGGGTCTCACTACGTTCCCCAGGCTTGTCTCAAACTCCCAGGATCAAGCAATCCTTCCATCTTGGCCTTCCAAAGTGCTGGGATTGCAGGCATGAGCCACTGTACCCAGCCAAAGATATCCTTTATCATGTTAAGTTTTAAGAACGTGTACTTCTGGCTGGGCGCAATGGCTCATGCCGGTTATCACAATGCTGTGGGAGGTCAAGAGAGAGGACTGCTTGAGGTCAGGAGTTCAAAATCAGCCTGGGCAAGATAGTAAGACCCTAACTCTACAAAAAATATCTTTAAATGAGTTGGGCACAGTGGTGCACGCCTGTTGTTCCAGCTACTCAAAAGGCTGAGGAGGGGGGACGGCTTGAGCCCAGGACTTCGAGATTGCAGTGAGCTATGTATGCACCACTGCACTCCACTTCCAGCCTGAACGACAAAGCAAGACCCCATCTCTTAAAAAAAGAAGAAGAAGAAGAAAGAAATGAACTTCTATTTCCATCTAATTTTATCAGCGGTAACTTGAATTTTGTAAGTCTTTTTGTGTCATTAGAATCAGACTCATGGCATTCTGTGAACTGAAACAAAATTGTATGTGGAAAATGAGGTATGAGTTCCTTGCAAGGGAAACTACATTTTATTGTATTGTTTTAGAGACAGAGTCTTGCTCTGTTGGCCAGGCTGGAAGGCAGCAGTGGCATGACCACAGCTCACTGCAACCCTGAACTCTTGAGCTCAAGCGATCCTGCCTCAGCTTCCCAAAGTGCTGGAATTATAGGTGTAAGCCACGGTACCACGCTTTTTATTTTTATATCTTCATACCACTCAGCAGGAGCCCAGTTAAGTATTCACTTAGGAACAAAAACCATCAAAAGGAAACTTACACAGGACTCAGTATTGGGACAAACAGCGACCACTTTATTCTCTTTTGAGTTCTCCTCTTGGGAAACAGAATCTTGAGAGACGAGATCTAGGAAGGGGGAGAAAACCAGTCCAGGCTTTCAAACGAATTCTTCAGACTAAAAATCTTAACATACATAAGTAATACACAGGAAAAAAACTAAGTCAGTTTCTCCTACTATACTCACAGCACAAAATAATTCTGACTCCAGATATATGGAGGCATTTCCCCCATGCCAAGCAAGCAATTCTGTGGCAGATTCCCCAGCAGGCACCAGCTGGGTGTCCTCTAATTCATTTCTAACACTATCTACCTGGAGAATCAGCTCCCAAAGGTTAAGGTCTCAGTCCCACAAAACCATCCTCCACTTCAGATGCCAGTCTCATGTCTGAGCCTCCAGGGCTTTTGACCAACAAGATACAAACTGGGGATCCCATGAACCTCTCATGAGCCCCTCCCTGGATTCCAATAATATGCTACAGTGGCTCACGTAACACTTTACTTACATTTACCGGTTTATTGTAAAGGGTATTCCAAAGGATACAGAGGAACAGCCAGATGGATGAGGTACTGCGGAGGGCAAGGGGCTTGGAGCGTCCATGCCCTCTCTGGGTGCACAGCTCTCCAGAACTGCCATGTGGTTAGCTATCTGAACTCTCCCCTTTGGGGTTTTTATGGAAGCTTCATAGACAGGCATGACTGATTAAATCACTGGCCATTTGATCAACTCAAGCTTCAGTCCCTCTCCCCTGACAGGTTGTGGGGTGGGGCTGAGTTCCAACCCTCTTAAGCTCAGGGTTGATTCCCCTGGCAACCAGCACCCTCCCAATTCCAAAGTCATCTAGGGACTTTCCAAAAACCACCTCATTAACATAAACTCAAGTGTGCGTAAAAGGGGCTTGTTATAAATAATAAAAAGACTGTCTTTCCCCTTTATAGCTCAGGAGCTGTTTTAGGAACCACAGACAAAAGGCCAAATATTTTAACAAAAGATACTCTTACTGTTCTAATCGCCCAGGAAATTATAAAGGTTCTAAGAGCTAAAAGCCCCTCTATGTGAAGGTCATTCAGAAAAAAACAGAAAGTTGCCCCACTCTTTAAAACACAGAACATCCAAAGATAAAAGTTTCCTATGAAAACCTAGGCTTTTCCCCTTAGCTCATATAAAAATCCTCTCCAATCCTAAGCTCACAAAAACTGGTTTTCTTCTTTCTATAGACCCTGTCTAAAAATATTTAATTTGAACAATAACCAATTTTGAAGTATTCTAATTTGAAAGATGTAGTAAGGTAAAACTGTACATTCTTCATAGTCCTAGTGACAAGAGTCATGCAAACCTGCTAAATGAATGAAAGCACCAGCTTAGTCTCAAGAACTGACTCCACCAGATTCCTACAGGCAGAAAAGAGGTATCTAATAAAAACTCATGGAAACTAAATGTATCCAGTACCTTCAGACTGGCCCATTCTGGGCACACTGCCTATGAGTGATTCCTGCTCCACAAGGAGCAGTAAAAAACAAAAACATAAATAAAAAACCCTCAGATGTCAACAACTCTTTTTCAAATAAGAAAAAGTATTTTTTCAAATCAAACTCTACCTTTTTATGAAAAGAATTTTACACTTCAGTGATTAGATGATCAATAAAAATTAAGAATCAGAATTATGCAATCAAAGGGAAAAGTGGGGTGATTTTAAGAAAACAGTTATATCCTACAAAATCCTAGAAAACAACTTTTTTTTTTTGAGACAGAGTTTCACTCTTGTTGCACAGACTGGGGTGTGCTGGCATGATCTCAGCTAAATGCAACCTCCGCCTCCTGGATTCAAGCAATTCTCCTGCCTCAGCCTCCAGAGTAGCAGGGATTACAGGCGTGTGCCACCATGCCAGGCTAATTTTGTATTTTTTTGTAGAGACAGGGTTTCTCCATGTTGGTCTGACTGGTCTAACTCCTGACCTCAGACAGTGATCTGCCCGCCTCAGCCTCCCAAAGTGCTGGGATGACAGGCGTTTGCCACTGCACCTGGACCAAAAGCAGTTCTTTTTTTTTTTTTTTTTTTTTTTTGAGACGGAGTTTCGCTCTTGTTACCCAGGCTGGAGTGCAATGGCGCGATCTCGGCTCACCGCAACCTCCGCCTCCTGGGTTCAGGCAATTCTCCTGCCTCAGCCTCCTGCGTAGCTGGGATTACAGGCACACACCACCATGCCCAGCTAATTTTTTGTATTTTTAGTAGAGACGGGGTTTCACTATGTTGACCAGGATGGTCTCGATCTCTCGACCTCGTGATCCACCCGCCTCGGACTCCCAAAGTGCTGGGATTACAGGCTTGAGCCACCGCGCCCGGCCCAAAAGCAGTTCTTTATTGCAGGGGCCTCCACACAGAGGCCCTAATTTTGTAGAAGCATAACACTGCAGTGACAAATCAGAGGAGTCAGGAAACCCAAATTTTAGACATACTAATTAGCTGTGTGATGGCAAACTAACTGTATGGAGGTAAATACTATTTATTTCCCTATCTCAGTATTTCCAAATATTCCAAATATATACTTGGAATACAAATATTCCAAATGTATTTGCAGTATATTACAATGCAAAATACAAACATTTGTAACATATTTGAGAACATGAATAGTTACAAATTTGAGAAAAAGGTGAGCTAATGATATCACTGTAATTCAGTTTATATTTTATATATTTATATTTATAATATGTAATTATATACATATAATTCACGTTTTCCTGCACTAAGGCTGTAGAACTCCACTATAAAATAGTTACTAGTCACATGTGGCTATTTAAACATTAAATTTGATTTTTAAAATTCAGTTCCTTATTTGCACTAGTTGCTTTTCATGTGCTTAACTTGAATTGCAAAAGAGTGCAGAAACATTTCCATCAGCAAAGATACTGACAGCCCTGCTCTAGTACCGTGCTAGTTCACACACTGGAGCCATTAGTAAGGCCTGAACTGGTTGATTTGCCTGTGACTACAAACACTTTCACAGATAACTTGTGTTCCTGAAGAGGATGCGAAAGAAATTAATATTTCTTGAGCATCCACCATATATATCTTGTCTCACCTTTACAAGAAAACTACAGGAAAGATGATATCCCTTTGTAACACATAAGAATATTTACATTCTGCTGGGCATGGTGGTTCACACCTGTAATCCCAGCACTTTGGGAGGCCAAGGCGGGCAGACTGCTTGAGGTCAGGAGTTCAAGACTAGCCTGGCGAACATGGTGAAATCTCGTCTTTACTAAAAATACAAAAATTAGCTGGGTGTGGTGGTGGGTGCCTATAGTCCCTGCTACTAGGGAGGCTGAGGCAGGAGAATTGCTGGAACCCAAGAGGCAGAGGTTGCAGTGAGCCAAGATTGCACCACTACACTCCAGTCTGGGTGACAGAGCCACAGACTCCCTCTCAAAAAAAACAAAAAACAAAAAACAATTTACTCCTCTTTAGCAGTAAATTGCTTTTCTTTTGAGGAGTTTACTTTCAGACTTTGAGGCAATGTCTCCCACTTCCTCCCTCCATCTGTAACTCTCACCTTCTTTTTCTTCAAGCATCTGCATCAAATCTTCTATTAGGTTCACCACCTCCTCACTACTCTTAGGATGTTGTGACTTTACCCAAACCCTGATCTCCCCAGGCAAAATGGTCAGGAACTGCTCAAACACCAAAAGCTCTAAAATCTGTTCTTTCGTGTGAATATCTGGTCTCAGCCACTGAGTGCAGAGCTCCCGGAGTTGACTCAGAGCTTTCCTGGGTCCGGCTACTTCTGAATAACAAAACCACCTAAACCGCTGTCTGAAACACTCTGCATCAGCAGCATCTCCTCCTAAAATAGTTTCTTGCTCCCCAGAAGTAACCATTCCTGGGACCTCATTTTGTTCAGTAGGGGCCAGAGTTTGAGGGTCTGGTGAGATGGCTGTCATCTTGTTCAAGGACACTACAGCTTGCACTGTGTATCAGGAGGAGGAATCCAGTCCCTTCACACTCTAGTTGAGTATCAGTACAGTCCAGCAACAGGCACTATACACAGCCAGGAATATCAAGGTTCCAGGAATCCAGTTTACAGTCCTGCAGAAACTGTCAAGAAGAAACATTAAGGCATTAAATAAGTAAAACAAACTGTTGTCAGTCCTAAAAACAACATTTTTGGTTTGGTTCCACACACATACCCGGAAAGGCCTAAAACAGCTCTGCTCAACTACTGTATTAAAACAATAATTTTCTTTCTTTCTTTCTTTTCCCCTTTTTTTTTGAGATGGAGTTTCGTTCTTGTTGCCCAGGCTGGAGTGAAGTGGCGCAATGTTGGCTCACTGCAACCTCTGCCCCTACTGGTTCAAGCGATTCTCCAGCCTCAGCCTCCTGAGGAGCTGGGATTATGGGTACCCACCACCACATCCGGCCAAGTTTTGTATTTTTAATAGAGACCAGGTTTTGCCATGTTGGCCAGACTCGTCTCAAACCTATCTCAGCCTCCCAAAGTGTTAGGATTACAGGTGTGAGCCACCAGGCACAGCCGACAACCGTCTTTATAGTCAAAAGCTGAGTAGCTACTTAAGGGTTATAAAAGGTACGCTCAAAGGAAACAGTTGCTTCAGATTCAATAGTCCTCCTAAGCAAAATGTTATCAGGAAAGGTTTACAAGGAGACACTGTCGCAAAGCTATTTAACAACTCCTACGCTTTCTCAATGAAAGGCCACTAATTTCTCACCAGTTGCTCAACTCAGATACCCAACTTAATATTTGACTTTCAAATTTCTCTTCCTTCTTACTTCTCCCATTATCAATAACCAGGTTCTGGCGATTTTATTTCCTGAGAGCCTCTTCATTCTATCCTACTGAAACTGCTTAAGCACAGGCTCTTCAATCCAGTCTCACACTGTAGCCAAAAAATTCCTTCTAATATGCAAGATATGATCTTATCACTCCCTTGCTTATCGTCCCTCACCAGCCGCCAAACTGTCTCTCGATAAAGTTCACAAGCAGGGACCATGCATTGTGATCTGAGATGTTGCCTGATGACTTCACCTGCTAAGCTCTAGCTACCCGATTGACACTACAGCTATAAATCAACATCTCTCCATTCCCAGACACACTCTGTATATACCCGCCTAGCCTTTACACTAAGACTATTCCCTCTCCTCGGAATGTGGCTTTCTTTCTCCTACCAAACTTTTATTCTTTCTTTAAAGCCTGACTCCTTTCAACTGTCACCTCTTGTGTGATGCTCCGCTTGATCCCAAAGCACTCCTTTGCAAACAGACCGCCCTGTGTTGCATGCATTCATTCATTCTACAAGTGACTGAGCAACTACAATGCGCTGGAACCGGACCAGGGGCCATGAGCTGCGGGGCCAGGCGTGGACAGGCCCGAAAGGGTCCTCATCCTCACAGAGGGTCCAGGAAATGACAATACAGCCGGAGCGGGACTACAATGAGGCAAGTGAAGGCTGTGAGAGCCTCGCAATGCAATTACCATACCAATAACAACCCATCTCCGAACACAGCGCCCGGCATACAGCACGCATGACGTCATTTATTCCTATGCCAAATATTAGGCGCCCACCAGGTACCTGGCGCCGTGCTGGGCACCTGGGGCTCCGCGGTGACGAAGACCCTCAGCTCCGTCTACAGGGAGTTTACACTGGAGGCCTGGTGAAAATGTGACGCAGCCAGAGGATCTCAACCGGAGGGAGGGCAAAAGCAGAGGTTTCACCCCCCCAGGGGTCCTCTAACAATATCTGGACACATTTTTGGTTAGCTCGACTGGGAGAAGAGGTAGTACTGGTATCTAAAAGCAGAGCCAGTGATGCTGCTACAAATCCTACAATAACCGGAGAGCCTCCTCCTCACGGCCACGCCACACAAACAAAACAAGGCATTATCCCGCCCGAAATGTCAACAGTGCCCAAGAGGCGCAGGGAGAGATGGAGGGAAGGCTACGGCCCCGTCCCGCAGCGAAGTGCGCACCTCCCATAGAAGCAGCAGCAGCGCAGCGCACGGCCGGTCGGTGGGCTGCTCCTGTTCCCCACCCCGCCCCAGGGGGGCCCTCGGAGCCCGCGATCCGGCCGCGGCCCCGAAACTCGGGGCAGGGGACACCCAGTACCTGCACCAGCATCCGCAACCAGCAACAACGCCACCGCAATGAGCTTCCAGAAGCTTATCCCGCAGCGAGTGCGCGCGCAAGCCCGCGGGGACCACTGCGCCTGCGCAGAGGCGCGGACCCGGACGCCCCGAACGCGCTCGTGAGGCTTTCCGAGAGTCCGCGCTTTCCATAGGCTCCCACCTGCCTGTTGCGCATGGTCACTGGGAAGCGGCTAGTGGGCTCGGCTGCAGAATTATTGCTGCGCCAGAGGCTCAGAGGCCTAGAAACCTTTGAGGTTTGCAGATTCAGGGGGCTGCATCTTCTTAGTAACCTCAAACCTTCCCTACTCGCTTTCATCACTTCCATTCCCTGAAATCTAAGGTGGAAAAATCCACCCCAGAAGCACATTAGCGATGCATTTAATGCAAGCCATAATTAACGCCACAGCTTGGGTTAAACACATGTTAATCTTATGACTTCCACACCCGCCCCCATGGTCCAGTCCACCCCCATGGCTCAGGTGGATTATTGCAATAGCTTCTTCATTTCACCTTCACTTCTCTTGGTTATTCTGCACACACACCATAGCCAGACCAACATTTTAAAACGCCAAAGTATGTTCCTCCTTTGCTTAAAACCCTGCAATGGTTTCCCATTTCACTCAGAGTAAAAACCCAAGTATTTATAGTGGCCTACAAGGCCTGATGGAATCTGGCCCTCTATAACCTCCCGTACCTCTTCCCCCACTTTCCGGCTCAAATCTTATTAGACCCCTTCCTCTTCCTCTAACCTGCCACGTACTTCCGGCTGACCTGCTCCTCCCCTAAGTGGCCGAATGGCGGCGCACCCACTCACCCTTTCGGGTCTTGCCAATGAAGCTCTCCCACGAGTCCACTTAAATAGGAATCCCACCTCACTCTTGTTTCCTCTTCTAGCATACCCTGTAGTTTTTTGTTGTTGTTTGGTTTTGTTTTGCTTTTTTGAGACGGAGTTTCGCTTTGTCGCAGAGGGTGGAGTGCAACAGCACGATCTCGGCTCACTGCAACCTCCGCCTCCCGACTTCAAGCAGTTCTCCTGTCTCAGCCTCCCAAGTAGCTGGGATTCCGCCCGCCACCACGTCCGACTAATTTTTTGTATTTTTAGTAGAGACGGGGTTTCACCATGTTGGGCAGGCTGGTCTCGAACTCCTGACCTCAGGTGATCTGCCTGGACCTTAGGTGATCTGCCTGCCTTGGCCTCCCAAAGTTGTGGGATTACAGGCATGAGCCGCTGTGCCTGGTTGTTTTTGTTTTCTTTTGTTTAAATTTATTATTTTACTACTTGTCTGCCTTCCCTACAAGAACATTAGTTCCACAAGAGTAAGTATTTTTATCTCATTTGTTCTAGATTGTATGTTTAGGCCCTGGAACAGTACTTGGCCCATGATAGGCACTCAGTAGACAATTGTTGAGCTTATGAATGAGTGCTTGCATAGATTATGGGGAGCATTGCAAAAAGGGCCAGGAACTCCGGAAAAATTGTTTGGAGGGTCCTAATAACTGGATGATCCCTGAAGGGGTAGAGTTGGGAGTGAAAGACGACGTTCGTTCTAGACTGAAGGAGCAGGATGATTCAAGGCCCTGAGACTTTAAAAGGACAGAGCAAGCTCAACTAAATGAACCACTTGGCTTATCACAGGCAGCAAGTCAAGTGAAGAAACAGGGCTGGGAGTTAAGACAAAAGTTTTCTCAGTCCCAAATCCCATTGCATATCCTCCTCTACCAACCTCCCCTTGGCTGGCTTAAGTAAGACACTTCAGGAAGAAGCTGGAGAAGGCAGAGGAATGTGGAATGTCTATTGGCTCATTATTTTAAATAGGCAAGTCAGAGGCACTTTACTTAGCGGTTCTCAAGTTTTACTGTACCTTAGAATCACATGATGTTCTTTATTTGAATACAAATTTGGGGGCCGGGCGCCGTGGCTTATGCCTGTAATCCCAGCACCTTGGGAGGCCAAGGCGGGCAGATCACCTTAGGTTGGGAGTTTGAGACTACCCTGACCAACATGGCAAAACCCCATCTCTACTAAAAATACAAAATCAGCTGGTCGTGGTGGCACATGCCTGTGATCCCAGCTGTTCAGGAGGCTGAGGCAGGAGACTCACTTGAACCCGGGAGGCAGAGGTTGTAGTTAGCTGAGATTGTGCCATTGTACTCCGACTTGGGCAATAAGAGTGAAACTTTGTCTCAAAAAAAAAGAAAAAAGAAAGAAAAAGAAAAAAAAACACAGAAATGTGGGGGGCCTTCTGGCCCTCCCCACCCCTCAACTTGTTGCAGGTGATATTGCGCTTTGAGAAACACAGTACTGGGCCGGGCGCGGTGGCTCAAGCTTGTAATCCCAGCACTTTGGGAGGCCGAGGCGGGTGGATCACAAGGTCAAGAGATCGAGACCATCCTGGTCAACAAGGTGAAACCCCCTCTCTACTAAAAATACAAAAAGTTAGCTGGGCATGGTGGTGTGTGCCTGTGATCCCAGCTACTCAGGAGGCTGAGACAGGAGAATTGCCTGAACCCAGGAAGCGGAGGTTGCGATGAGCCAAGATCACGCCATTGCACTCCAGCCTGGGTACCAAGACTCAAAAAAAAAAAAAAAAAAAAAAAAAAAAAAAAAAAAAAAAAGAGAGAGAGAGAAAAACACAGTACTAGTTGAAATATTCTGGGCCGGGCGCGGTGGCTCAAGCCTGTAATCCCAGCACTTTGGGAGGCCGAGGCGGGTGGATCACGAGGTCGAGAGATCGAGACCATCCTGGTCAACATGGTGAAACCCCGTCTCTACTAAAAATACAAAACATTAGCTGGGCATGGTGGCACGTGCCTGTAATCCCAGCTACTCAGGAGGCTGAGGCAGGAGAATTGCTTGAACCCAGGAGGCGGAGGTTGCGGTGAGCCGAGATCGTGCCATTGCACTCCAGCCTGGGTAACAAGAGCGAAACTCCGTCTCAAAAAAAAAAAAAAAAAAAAAAGAAATATTCTGTAAGTAAATGACATGCTGCATATGAATAAATTATCAGGAAAGAATGGCATCTTGTTGGAACTGGTAGCCAAAATATAACTTTCGATTAAAAGTAGCTGTCATGGTAAGGAGTGGTGGACTGTGCATCAGGAAGGAAGCTAGAAACTACAAATCAGTTTCACTTGTCTGCAATCTGGTGGGATCTCTAAACAGGATAAACATACTTAGGAACATTTTAAGTGAGCTGTTTGTTTAGCTGTTTGGGCTTCAGTATGGAGAATAGATTAGAAAGAGAGAAGACCAGAGATAAAAAGACTAGTCTTATCATAATCCAGTATGATGGTGGCATAAAATAAAAGTATTTTAATGATGATAGAAGACAGACACAGGGCATAGTAGTATCAAGGGATAGTAGTAGGATTTGGTGATTTATTGCAGATATTCATGGATGGTAACAAAGAAAACAATGTGCTATAGGGCATCTTAGATTTTGTTATAATGGTCACAGCAATATATATCCTATCCCACAAGTTATTCTTACAAGGTTATGTTGATATATCTCCTTTTGAGAGGAGTTATCTATGCTTCCTCCCCATTGAAACTAGGTTGATGACCTTTGTAACTTCCTAAGCCAATACAATGCAGTGGAAATGATGCTGCCTAATTTCTAAACCTGCCCACATCCATAGAGCTAGGGCCCAGATCAAGAAACAACATGCTGGCCGGGCGCGGTGGTTCAAGCCTGTAATCCCAGCACTTTGGGAGGCCGAGGCGGGTGGATCATGAGGTCAAGAGATCGAGACCATCCTGGTCAACAAGGTGAAACCCCGTCTCTACTAAAAATACAAAAAATTAGCTGGGCATGGTGGCGCGTGCCTGTAATCCCATCTACTCAGGAGGCTGAGGCAGGAGAATTGCCTGAACCCAGGAGGTGGAGGTTGCGGTGAGCCGAGATCGCGCCATTGCACTCCAGCCTGGGTACCAAGAGCCAAACTCTGTCTCAAAAAAAAAAAAAAAGAAAAAGAAAAAAAGAAACAACATGCGGCCAGGCAGTGGCTCATGCCTATAATCCCAGCACTTCGGGCGGCTGAGGTGGGTGGATCACCTGAGGTCAGGAGTTCGAGATCAGCCTGACCAACAAGGTGAAAACCTGTCTCTACTAAAAATTAGCCGGGCGTGGTGGCAGGTGCCTATAATCCCAGCTACTGGGGAGGCTGAGGCAGGGGAATCACTTGAACCCAGGAAGCAAAGGTTGCAGTGAGCCGAGATCATCATGCCACTGCACTCCAGCCTGGGTGATGGAGCAAGACTCTGTCTCAAAAAAAAAAAAAGAAAGAAAAAGAAAAAGAGAAACATAATATGACGAGCAATGCAGAAGCCCTGGTCCCCCTGTACTTCCTTTTGGTCACCTTCCCAAGGATGTCACTATTCTGACTTTTAACAGAGAAGAAG